CATTCAGTAGACCTTTCCTGCATCCATAGAAGCCACAGAAGGAATTTGGAGCTGAAGTGTGAAATTATGGGACCTGCCTTGCAGGTGTCCATACTGGCAGCTGGGTGAGAAACGGGGGCGGAGCGGCCTGCTGGCAGATGCTTCAGGTCGCCCAGGCGAGAGGTGTCTGCACAAACGTGGTTGCACTGGGTACAGAGTGGAGGAGACGGTTTGGGAGGTAGGAAGGAGGTGAAAGCAGCACAGTATGGTCAACACCTGTAGGGGGTGGTATGCGAGGCCAGTGGAGAAAGAAGGGTGAAGGCTAGTGATCCGTGGACCGTGGAGTACATGGCAGAGCCATCCATGATGTGGGATGTAGGACAAGGAGTGGATGGGAACACAGGAGTCCACGGTAGCGTGTGGGGTTCAAGGCTCCTGTGAGGCCTCCAAGTGGAAGTGATCTGTCGGCATCTAGATTTAGATCTGGCACTCAGGGATGCGGACGGAAAGGAATTTGTCCTGGCATGATTGTATTGGCCGATTTGGACTGGAGAACCCCGCATTTAACTGAGGTGTCCTGCTTGCCTTGCAAATGGCTGATTTTCAAATTACAAGCAAATACATTCCTAACATCCTAACAGACTCTCCCATCGTACCCTGCACTTCAGCTGAACTAGAATCTTTTCTTGCTTCTGTTCCTTTCCTGCTGTTCCTTCTGCTGGGATGGCACTCCCCATTTTTACCCTCCCTGCCCCCTCCCCTACCATCCTCCTGTCTCCTGATGTCTGACTCCTGCCCATGCTTTGAAACCCTTTGTGTTTCAAGGTTGTAGCTGCTCAGAGTTAGCACCACCTTTTCCTACCCTCCAAATGCCTTTTTTTTTTTTTTTTTTTTTTGGTCTTTGGTGCATTTAGCATATAACACATTGTATTATATTAGTTTCTGAACTCTTCATGATTCCCCTACTGGTTTGTAAACTCCCTTGAGGTCAGAGGTCGGCTTCCCCTCTTTTTGCAGATTTCATACCTTACATAGTTTTCTATCATTTAATAGCTCAGACAGTACATAGTTCCTGTCTTCCTTGAGCTGTACCTTTCCTGCGCCCCTGAGCCCTGTAGGATTTTGGCAGAATGAGATCTTTTCGCATCAGGTATTCCGTGTTGCTGATCAGAGTAAGGATGTTGAGTCTCTGTGCCTCAGAGACCAGGGGTTGATTACTTTCTAGCATAGTCCGGTGTTTTGGCTTCAGGCTCTGTGTCCTTCCTGGCGTATTAGACCCTGGACTTTAACTACTAAGCTAACTCTCAGCCCGATGACTTCTTGTTTCACCTGTCCCTCACTGCTTTCCTTCCCTGGATCGGGGATTCTCTTTGGGGAAGGCAAAGTAACAGAAATCCTTTTTCCTTGAGTGCCTGGTGGATTCCCAAGCAGCCCTCCGCAGTATACCGAGTCCCTACTGGCTGCAGAGATGAAAAGTAACATTCTCAAAAGTAGCCCGACGGTTTTTCCCCTTTTTTGGTCTGTTTTTGGTTGTATTAATTTCCTGTGCTTCTGGTCCATTAGTTTCAGGTTACCATGTCAATCAGTCCAGGTCGGGAAGCAGTGAGTGCTGCCCCTGTGGTAGGCCCCTGCCTACATGTGGCTGACACAGCGTTCCCTGCGGAGAGAAGATTTGACTATAGATCTAAACCCTGGCTGAATCCAGCCTGCAAGTGTGTTTCTTTGGCCCTCATGTTTCATTTTTTTTTTTTTTAACAATTACTTATTTTTGAGAGTCAAGCGGAGGAGGGGCAGAGAGAGAGAGAGAGAGAGAGAGAGAGAGAGAGAGACCGAATCCGAAGCAGGCTCCAGGCTTCGAGCTGTTAGCACAGAGCCCGACGTGGGGCTCGAACCCACAAACCGTGAGATCATGACCTGAGCCGAAGTCAATGTTTAACTGCATGAGCCACCCAGGCACCCTTCTTTTTTGAAATGGTGAACGTTTTCTCAAAACGTCGATTCTTGGTTTCTCCCCCCACAACTTGCCAGTGTTCCGGGAACCCTGGCCCCAGGTTTCGCAGAGCTGAGCTGGGCTCAGTGGCTGTCATAGTTGGAGGGACAGGGGGCATCCACTCCAGGTCAGCTCACTCTCGCCCGTCCCTGGGGTGTCACCCCAGGGGTGACACACCCTGGGGTGTCACCTGCCCTCCCTTCCTCATTGACATTGCCTGGCTGGTCCACAGCCATCACCTGCAGCCTCCGGCTTCCCTGCTGGAGTGTGCCGAGTGTTTTGGTGGAGCGGAGGAGGGCCTCTTCAGCCACGCCGGGAGTCACAGACACAAAAGTGCATCTCTAGGGATGACTGATTTAGGCAGGTGGAGAGGGTGGTGAGGCAGTCGCCCCAGGCAGAAGCGGAGAGCTAAAAACAAAACAGCCCAGGGTGCTCTGAGTAACGGTGGCATTAACCACGTACTTCACTGTCTCTTCTTTGGAGTGGAAGGTGGAAGAACGGGGCTCGGAGGGGTCGACAGGATTGCCCCGATCGGTTCATTGTGGAATCTTGCTTATGGCGATTGTCCCTCGATACAACACTTCCAGCCCCAGAAAAATCCAGTGAAAAAGACATTCACCCCCAGTGGTTTGTCCATCAGAGGCCCTTTAGTGGGTATGAGAGGTTACGGAAGCTGTATCAGGACACCCGATCCCGTGAGTGGTAACGAGTAGCCCCGGGTGAGAACCCCCTTTCTTTGAGTGTGATCCCCAGCAGCTCTCTGGTTGTGGGGAAGTTCAGTTCCTTAATCCCAGACTCAGTCTCCCAGTCGGTCAAATGGAGTAAGACTGAGAGATTGAGGGCTCATCTATGCATGGCACCAGCACAGCCATGGCCGAGGGCACATTGCCAGTGAGTGGCATTGACGGTGCTGCTAATGACAATGGAAATGACAAGTGCCACGTGTCCCTAGCAACTCGTAGGAAAGACGGACAAGTCAGGGCTTTTCCCGTCTCCCAGCATTTAGCTGTGCCTACAGCAGCCCACTGCTTTTCCGTTCTCCTAACGGCCGTGAGCAACCTCAGATCCTTCTGGAAGCAGGTTGGTCGTGAACTATAAATAATTCGATCAAGAGGCCCCGGGCCCCGCCCCTGTGGGTGGGGTCACCATCAGAATATGGGGGTCAAGTGTGTGTGGCCGTGACCCCAGCGGTGACGTGCTGCAGCCAAGTCCTCAGATGCTGAGTAGACCCCAGCGGGTGGGGTGGACCGTCACTGTCGTGTGCCCTCACCTGGCAGTGCGCGAGGGGCGGGGGCGAGTATATTTACCACCCGAAAGTTAGGGAGGCTTTGATGAACTGGGCCATCTCTCCTCAGTCCCCATTTTTCCTCGCGTCTCCGAACTCTCATTAATTTTTCACAGGCTTGTGATGGATAGTTTTTATTTATTCACGTCTGAGGTTCTGTTGTGTGAAAAGGACTCATTTTATAACATTACATATTCATGGCTTGGGATAGATGGGATAAGGAACTTATTATTAATGTGTCACTGTGGGAAACTTACTCCAGTTCATTTGCGAACCTTGTTAAATTTGGTGTGGTCAGCAGACACGGTGAAGTTTCGGGTGCGTTCCCTCGATGGAGGGCAAAGAGTTGGCTGTTGCTTCCCCTCGATTCAGTGCAGTTGAGTTTATATCTTATTTAAATATTTGGAAATACTCATCTGAGGGTAGAAAAGAACATCGGAGTGAGGTGGGGGCGGACGGCAGCGATTAAGTAGAGAAAGAAGCTCCTGTCTCCTTGTCGGATAGCCTGGCTGCCCGGGCTTTCCGTGGCTCTCCTCCCAGGGGCATAGGAGGGGCGGTCCCCTTCCTAAAGGCGAGGTCCAGAGCCATGCCCTTCCCCACCTCCCCGCCGTGCCTAGCATCTCTCCTTGGGGCACGTTGCACATTCCTCCACCTCTTCGGTCCTCCTGACCTCTGCTCTGGGTTCTGGGGAGGTCTCCACTTGCAGCTCCCACTGACATCACAGAATTCCTTGCCCTGGACAGATAGAGGGAATGTCACCATACCATCTTGTAAATCAAAGCTGGGGGTGGAGGCAGGGCCCAGTAGGGAGCCCGGCCCAATCTGCTTCAGCGTGAGCTTAGAGGGGAGGAAGCATATGTTGCACTCAGTTCTCTGCAGAGACACGCTCTGCTCTCTGGTAGGGACGGTGTGCAGAGTTTGCGGCATTTGTGGGGGCCGCTGTGCGTGTGCCAGTTTGGTTCAGCAGCGACGTGGCCAGTGGTCGCTGCCCCTTAACAGACTCCTCCTCGCCGAGAGAAAAGCAGAATAAATGCACGGGAAGGATGCATTTTGAAATCTGGAAATTCTCCAAATCAGGCATCGGACTTGAAGAGTGTCCAAAACGTTAAGAATCATGTGGTGCCTCCTTGGCCACATGTCATGGGGATTTTCAAGCCTAGGATTTGTTACTGATAACCTTGTCCTCTACAGAGGTTAAGAAAAAAAATTGAAATTCTTTTGATAATCAAAGCAATTAGCTTACGAAGTTGATGCTGGGGTGTACCCGGCATGAGTAGGGGACAAAGGAATGAAATATGCCTTTAAAGGCATCCTCCGACGATGTTTCCATAATGCAAACCATTTGTTTCTCGCCGGGATTCCATTGGCGGTGCGCTGGTGTTATATTGCCATTTATATTGGAAAGGCAGACAGCGCGAAAACTGTAGTCTATTAAGAGTTTGTGAGTGTGTGCATGTGTATACAGTGAAATAATATCTAGTGTAATGTGAAGTGACAGTCAAAATTACAGCTTTTCTCTCGCCGCAAGGGCACTTCTTTGCCAAGTATAGTAATATTGTTGTCGCAGTGTTCAAGGTTGTCAGCAATTCTGGCTTACTCTGCAGAGAGTCATAATAGTGTGTGGAAGGAAGGAGCTTCCTGTCAGGGGAAATACTATAATTTTGATATATATTTGTTGGTGCCAAACTGCAATTAAATAGGAGGTGTTGGAAGAAGGTTTTATTTAACCAGCTTGAATTTGTTAATTAATTAGCAAAAACGTATATTTGGAATGCTTCAAGAAGCAGTTCCGTGATGTTCGCGTAACTTGATTCCACGCAATTGTTTTTGTGTTTGTCTGTCTCTTTGGAGAAAACAAAACACCCCCTCCCTGCAAACAGTGCAGAATAAAATGTTTTCAACCACCAAAGGAAGGGAAAAGTAAGACACCTTGAATAATCTTACCTCTTACCTCTTTGGGGGACATTTCTTAGCCTCTTAATGTTTGGAGTTCTCCCCTGGTGATCCAACAGACGTGTAGTATCTGGGGCATTGTCTGTTACGTGATTTAACTTGTACCTTGATGAGTTTGTGATTATGTTAGAGGACTTTGCAGGTGCCTAAAGGAAAAAAAGAATGGTCTTGGCAGTTTCTGTGTGTGTGTGTGTGTGTGTGTGTGCGCGCGCGCGCGCGCGCATGTGTGTGGATTAAATTGCTTGCGGACATAAGTCCATCTCTGTATACATGGTATCCACCTCTGTATGTATAGTATCCACCCCTGTATATATTGTATGCACCCCTGTATATATAGTATCCACCTCTGTATATATACTATCCACCTCTGTATCTATAGTATCATGCTAGCTCCCATGTTTTCGTTACTTGGGATAGTAACAAGTTTCTTAGTGACCGTTCCTGTTTCCATCCTGAGGAGAGAATGAGGGCGTCACCAGAGTGCCCTGGAAGCAATTCTGATGAAAAGGACTTTCTTTTTTGAATAAGTGGAAAAAACAGTGGGAGACTTAAATAGGGACAAATGTATTAAAAACTCTACTGCAGTTATGTGTTGAAAAATAAGTAACAGAAGGATTGTGTTGTTTTAAAAAAGATGTACTTAAGGGTCTTGAAAAAGCTATGTGTGTGGGGGGGGGGTTGGGGGGGGGGAGAGCCCTGCCCTCTCATATCGAGCATTTTGCAAATTAAGTGAGTTTCATTCTCCCATAAAATAGGAATCCAATAACATTTTATATGATCATAAAATGTGTCTACTTTTGTCTCCATCTCTTATGAAAAAAAAGGAAATATTCCCAAAGTATATTACAAAAAATAATTAATAAGCAACCTTTCGTAGTTCTTTTCCAAGGTTAATTATTACCCTAAGAAATCAATTTCAATTTCTTCGGTTTGAGAGACTCGTTTGTGACTCGGTGTTTCCAAAAAAGGGAGTGAGTTAAGATGCTAAATGGGAGCCTTCATCCCCTAGAGAGAATGTCTTTGCTGCTGGCCGTGATTTACCCGGTGCTGTCTTGCCTGTTTATGCCCCATGCCAGGAGAACGCATGGAAAATGAAATAGAGCTGTGAGGATCTAGTGCGGCAGATTGGTTACAGGAGGAAACAGAAGTTGTCTTCATATTGTTAAAATAAAAGTGAGATGCCCTTGAGTCTTCACAAAAGAAAATGACTTGGCCCTTAACCTTCCTGACAAGCCCGAGCTAACGGAGCAGGGGGTCCGGGGAGGCAGCCTGTATCTCTTTGCACGGGGATCACTGCTCCTGTCCTGAGACAGAGGTGAGCATAGCCAGGAAGAGGGAAGAGACCCTCTGACCTGCAACTATCTCCTGATGGAACACAGGAAACCAGAAACGAAGGGGATGACTCCCATCTCGCCTCGTGGCGATCTTCTGTAAAAGTCATCAAAGTCACACTGTGTTTTCACCAGGCACCTGAGTTTCTTGAGCCGAGACTAGAATGTTCTGGTCCATTACGGCTAACCACGGTAGGCTCTCCCCATCGGGGGCCACACTTTGGCAGTGGTGGGATTTCCTCTCTGATTCAGTATGTTCTTCAAGTACATGGAAAAAAAAAAAGTTTGGGTGCACCTGGGTGGCTCAGTCAGTTAAGCCTCCCACTTTGGCTCAGGTCATGATTTCCCAGTTTGTGAGTTCGAGCCCCACGTTGGACTCTGCACTGACAGTGGGGAGCCTGCTTGGAATTCTCTGTCTCCCTCTCTCTCTGCCTCTTCCCTGCTCGCTCGTGCGCACGCACTCTCTCTCTCTCTCTCTCAAAAAATATATAAATAAATAAACTTCAAAAATAAAATGCTTTCCTTAAAAAAAAAAAAAGTTTATTTCCCCACCTTTAATCTACTTTATATTTCAGTGTTTGGCTTAGAATTTCCCATGAGTTGGAATGGTTGATTTTCTGTATTTTGCATGTGTTAAGGTGAACATTTCAATACTTTGTGACATTCAGTGAAAAAAAAAAATTGCAATAACCTCTAAGGATGAGGTGAAACAACCAGTCAGTTGGTCTGTATATTGATTCTTTATATTGGGGATCCCCAACAGACTGGGGGGGGCAGAGGGGTCTGGGTTCGAGGGAGGGGCTACGAATAGTTATTCAGGATGCTCTTCTTGTACATGAAAGAGTCTGAGTTCAAACTAGCTTACCTGGAAAGGGTCATTTTCGGCTCATGAATGTAGAGTTTTCTGCAGAAGTCAGCAAGTTTTCTCTGTAATAGGACAGATAATAAATATTTTTGGCACTGTGGGCCATGTGGTCTCTTGTCACAATACTCACTCACCTCTTCCTCTGTAGCAAGAAGAGCCACAACGACGATGGGTAAACCAGCAGGTGTGGCCATGCTCCAATACAACTTTACTTATGGAGACCAGGCTTTGGATTTCATGTAATATTTCACGTGTTAAAAGCTATTCTTTCTTTCTTCAGCCATTTCAACATGTATTTTTAGACACTGGGCTGTTTGAAAACATGGGGCTGAGGTCCAGATTGGGCTCAGTGGTTCATGAGGGCCCCGTCTTTAACCTCTTGATTTTGATTTTTTTAAAAATTGTGTTCTTCCAAGAGAGTTTTCTGAGCGGGGATCAAGCTTGCCACTGATAGGGACTGGCCCTTCCGCAGCGGCAGCAAGAAGCCATTTCCCTCACTGTCCCCACACAAAAGCCGCAGCGAGAATAGGATGGGCCTGGCTTGAGGCATGTGCTACCCCTGAATCACTTATGACCCACAGGATGCGGTTCTTTGGTCCCAAGGCCTGGCCCTACGTGGGGTCTGGGAGGCCCAGCTCCCTAATGCAGAAATGAGTGCCATTTTGGCCACAGACAGGACATGGGCTTATATCCTGGACAGTCCCAGGTGTCGCTTCCGGACTCCACTGTGAACCTTTTACAGTCTTGCGTTATAATTTTATTTTTAGATGTCTCTGGAGACCTCAGGAAGAAGTCCTTTCTGAGTATGGCTTCAGAAAAGGAGTGCGTCGGGTGGTTTCTTATCGATGACTGGCAAAGTATGGGCCTCTGTAAGTCACACAGCAGCTCCTTCCTGGAAGCAGAGCTCAAGGCAGGCTTCTCGTTCGGTTGATCTGGGACGTTGCGCCTTCGCAAGAAGGGGGGTGAGGACAATGGCATAGGGCAGGGGGAGTGGCCCGGCTTCCACCCGCGCCCATGCGGAGCTCTGGAGTATGAAGCTGGAGCGTGGATGCTGCTTGACACAAGGCTCTGGCTGGCTGGCAGGCAGTGATTAGCCAGCCTCTGCCAGAGAAGGAGGCTTAGTGGGCACAGCCCCAGGTGAGGCAGAAGCGGGTAGTTGTGGCTTAGCAGCCAACACTCAAGAGCCACTGGGTGCACCTGCCAGTGAGGGCTTCTGCGGTTAGGAGGCAGCATTGTAATAGGCTGGTCTGCACCAGAGAGGCTTCTCTCAGCCCTCTACCCATGGAAGGAAGAAGGATTTTGGCATCAAAATACTCTGCAGGCAGTGTCCGTAGCTGGGTATTAATGGACGCCCCAAGTGTGGGTCTACACTTTTAAGAAGTTTAAACCTCTCTTTCTGCCAATGGCCTCATACCCGCTTTTCCACCTTCCGACCTGTTTACTTCAACAGAGTGATCCTCTAATAACTTTTGTTTAGTGAAACTCAAGCCTTTTCAGGATGCTGTGCTAATGTCTTCCTTCCTTAATTGAGTAAATATATTATACACAGCTGGGTAGGTGATTTCCTTGCTGGCCTTGCTGCTACAATTTGAAAATGGATACAATTTTCTTTAACTCACATAGAATGAATGAGGCATTTATTCCTGGTTTCCTGTGGCTCTCCTCCTTCAGAAAATGTATTTACATGGGTATTTTTGAACCACTTCTTAAGAAACTGAAAAATTAAAATAAAAAGGGGGGTGGTGGAAAGCCAAGCCAAACCCCTTACCCCTCCTCCAAACAATGGCTACATTGTGACAACAGTGGGTTGAGCTAAATTCAGCTACGTCAAGGAAGAGCAGTAAAAGGAGACGGATTGTTCTCTAAGCTTCACTTTATTGGATATTGTAATTGACATATAGTTGTCATTTATAATCATCTGTCCATTCTTGTGAGTTGGGAGCAGTAAAGTTAATTGTGGCAGCTCATTTGCATTAATCTCACCTCTGAAGGGTACAGTAACCCATTAATATCATGTCATGATGAATTATCACAAATAACATTGAACATATTGATTAATGATCTCTGAGATTTGTATCTCGTTAAAACATTTTGTTAGCTCTTTAAACTTTTAAGCCAACAACCATTGCACGTAGGAGGTGTTCGAGTCGTCTACTAGGTGGTGGTGGGGAGTGGCATACATTGGCAGGGTCACTGGTTTAAGGAGTTGGACCACTCAGTTCCCATTAGATTTTTTCCCCCCTCTTCAAGAAGCCAAGCACATTTTCTTGGTAACCTCCTCCTACTTTTCCCTGGATAATGGTTTCTTCAAAACAGCGGCTTCTTTGATTATAAAGCATTTCTGATTCTCGACTGGAATGATTTTAATAAAAGAGTTTTTTTGTTATCTATTCAGTTCCTCAATTGCTGGCCTTCGGAATCTCTTGTCTACCTAGATCTGCTTGTTACTTTAAAGTGCACGTGTTTTTTTTTTTCCCCTCCACTGCATCAAAATTTCTGAACTTTTGTGTTAACATAAATATAGACCATATTTGGAATGAGTTGTTGGAGATGAAATAAGGTCACTTAAAAACATGACTTATCCTTCGTTTTATAAAACTTCATTCCTCTTTTCTCGGGTGCTTTCATTTTTCAGGTGATTGTCCCGAAGGAACAAATATATTGGCCCCACGTGTCATGTGGGCATTAGTGAAAGTATTAAAAATCCTCTGTAACAAGCCCTTTGTAGAATTTCCTGGTAGAAGTTTCAATACACTAGGTGCAGTGAAGTAAAAGGTTGGCCTAAGAGTTGAATTGCAAAGGTCCTTCTTTGCGGCTCTTTGCTTCACAGGTTGTGAAAGCTCTACAATGTTTGATCTCTCTCAGCTTACATGTTCCTTCACCTACCTTTAGCATTTGCTCTGTTTTCTCCAGATAAGTATTTAACAAGTGGCAAATACGGAGACTGGTCTCCTCTGCTGTTTGCTGTTTAGAGAAATTGGACCTGATGGTCCTGAAGTAAGGGTACTTTGAAGAAGATGTCATTAATGCCCGGCTGGTTTACACCCCAAGAGCCGTTCTAGAGAGGGACCGAGGGCAGCAGCTGCTGGTCTGGGGCCCTCCAGCCTGGGGCCGGGGCCCCCCACGGAGGGCAGGATGGTGACCCCCGTGCCTGTCAAGCAGCCGGCTCCCGGAAGGCTGGAGTCACCGGTTACGACGGTTAGGAAAAGGCAAACGCATGAGAGCTGCGCGCTGGTGGGGCACAAGGCAGCCATTATGTACTGTTTGTCCCTTTAGCCAGCAGGTAAGGACAGTGTTGCCATCCTTCCTTCCCTTCAGATGCTCACTTTTATGAAGGGGTCTTAAAACAATAACCGGACCATATGTGTAGCAATCTTTGGGCCTAAATAGCTAAGGACAAAGTAGATTGCTTTTTTTCTAAGGGCCACTTTCCTTTCCCTTCTTTGTCAGGCCTGCGATGTTCCTCACCCACTGAGTATTTAATATCTGTGTTTTCAAATCAAAGAACAAGCTTTTTGTCTCCCAGGATAGTATCTTGTAAAGCCAACCTCTTTATTACTTCACTGGTTTAAGGCTTTATTACTTGCGATCCAAAGCCTGCTAGTGAATTATGCATGGTACGCTCCTCAGCATCTTCACTACCCACGCTCCCGCCACCTTTTTGGGGGGCCCGGAAAGTACAGGGAGATCACAACGTGTGTTCGTTTCTACCCACGGTATTAATCCTTATTCATTTTAAAAAAATCTGCTAACGGAAATATTTCTATTCAGCTCATTAATCAATTGTGACTTTCATTCCCTTGTTTTGTAAAAGCTGTTGCAATAAATACTTTTTTTTTTTCACAAGGCGAAAATCCAAGAGATGGATGCAGCCGGCGTAATTAATTGCACCCAGTTACAGGAGATCAGCAAGTTTGTGAGATTCACATGCTGCTCTTCCATATGGTTGCCCAGTAGGCGAAAAATTTGATTAATGTTTTGAAGTAGATTTTTTTCAGCAAATATTACAGCCCCAGATGAGGTGGTTTTTTTTTTCCTTTCTTTTACTTTCTAGTATTGTTAGGCTTAGCTGAAGAAACCAATCCTCTGATTTAAAGCTTAATAATATTGTGATCTAGCGAAAACTTAACATGCAATAAAAATTGCAGTCTGCCTGCCTCTCGTGGATACAGAAAAATAATGCGTTATGTCTTTGTTTGTAATTAAGTAAAACGTGAAAGTCAGATTCTAGGACTTGATTCCCCCCCCCTTCCTGAAAAGAAAATATAACTGTGGTTTTAATTGATGTATTTTTGGTGTGATTTATAAGCAATATACATGGGCAGACTTTTAGAAGTGTAAGGGAACAGTAAACTAAAACACAAATATGAGTCAGTGAATGGCTTCTTATTAATTGCTGCTCATACCAATGAAGCCACCCTAAATACGACCATGTGAGTGTCATAGAAAAAAATTTAAGCTGTTTCTACTGTTATTTCAAAGGTATATTGGTTTCATAACCACTCAAGACATTCATAGTTAATTTCTCCTTTATTTAGGAAAAAAAAAATAAAAACCTCCCGATTTTCTTTTTTCCAAGTTAGAAAGTCTGTTTTATCTTACGGCTCCTTGTCATGCTGGACACCCATGCTTTTATGTCACTGCCCCAGTGGGGTCATGCTCCAGCTTATTTTTCTGATCACTGGGTGGGAATCAGCCACTGGGTGACATAATGGGACAAGATATGGTAGGCTTGACCTTGGCGTTCAAAACAACAACAAGAGATTTTGGAAATGTGGGAACTGGTGATCCGTTTCGCAAGGAAAAATGAAATAAGACGAACTTCTCCCCTTTGGCAAATGAGGCCTGATGCTTCAGATAGCTTAGCTTTTCTGTTTTGCTTTGCTTTTGAAACTTAATGATTTCTAATTGCCTAAGCAATATATGACTCTCCTTAAACCTCGATGTCTGCTGGAAGGACTGTTAGCTCAGGTGGTTAAAGCCTGATCTGTAACTGGGTACCAAGCTCATTTTGAATCCTGTGTCATGGAGTCATGAACAAGAGCCATAACTTTGACCCGCCACTGGTCCGGAGAGAGACTCAGTTCAGCAGGAACCGAGTTACCATTGAAAACAAAGCCAGCAATATTTGCTGTCCTCTATAAGATGTCACTCACTTGCTGCTTTCTTCCTCTGCGTCTCAGACATTTTAAGGGCTCGAAGTGCCCTGTTTCCAGTGGCTTCACAAGGAACCAGCTCAGTCAAGGTACAGGGGCCAAGGCAGAGACCAGGCCAGGAGGGCCATCTCTTCTGATTTTGAGTTAGTAAGTCAAATCTTTGAAGAAAAGATTAGATACTTTTTGATAATATTAGATGTGTTTGATCGTTTCGCTAAACTAGGTTTATAAATCTTTTTTTCTGTATTATTTTTATCTTAATGACCGTGTGGGTAGTAATTATCTGTAAAAGGCATGAAAAGAAGTGTTACCGTGACAGCATATTTTTAAAAAGTCTGAAGAAACCAGCACAGCCTGTCTTCCCTAAGTTTGGGCTGAAGCTCTTTTGTTCACGTTCGGTGTTATCTAGTTAGAGATTATGATAGTGACGCAGCTTTGGAAACACCCTTTAGGAAAACATTTGTCTAAGATTTACCTAACTTTTTTCCTTTGTCAGTCAGCCATTCCTGGTGAATATTTTTTAACCAGGAAGTTTAAGCAATCTGTCTCTGAAAGCCTGCTACATTCAAGACAGTTCATACAATTGCTTCCAATTACAGCCTGGGCTTTTTAATGAAAAAAAAAAAAAAAAAAAGGAAATAGTTTAAAGTTTTTGTTTAGTATGACAGTTGCAACATGAATGATACATGGTCAGTTGGCAGGAGACAGTGCATCGAATTATTTATGAGTTTATCTTTTTTTTTTTAGCAGCACCTATTATATATATATATATATATACATACATATATATACATACATATATATGTATGTATATATATGTGTGTGCAATTTATTATTGAGTCATAGTATGAATGGCTGAGGGAAATGTTTGAGAGGGTCTGATGAGGGCCAGTGCCTTATGGCAATGAAAGTCATGTTAGTTTTATTCACAGCTGGTGGATCTAGGTTGGTCTGATTTTTGTTGTGAAGCTGTGGTCCTGGTGGTCGTTTGAATAAAATGCGTTTGGAAGCAACAAGCCTGTTCACAGAGCAATATTTTGTTTTATCAAAGGAGAAGAATATATGTCCTGTCCATCTTTCATGAGTAATACATCCTTCTACACGATAGCATTGGCTGAACAATCATAGTGACCCTTTATATCCTAGAGGAGCCCGATACATTTGCAACATCTCCCTTTATAAGTCTTACTTCCCTAGAAGTAATCCTTCGGAGAGCGACAATTCCCAGAGTATCAGTTCCCTTAGATGAAATTTCCTTTTATTTGAACTAACTGCGTTGGATTGTAATTTACAGGCTCTGTCGGTATACAGTTGTTCAGATCTGGTATTTCACCCGCAAGCATCCATCAGTTGGGTGGACGTTGGCGCATTTTTCAAGCGGGAAGAAGTCCAAACAAATATAAGAAGGGAGGAAAAAAATACCATCCTGGAGATGGGAAGAAAAAAAAAATTATCCTTGGGGTCTCACAAGTTGAGATCGTTGCGTGTTGCCATGCAAAACTAACACCCAGCAGGGAGGTTCTGCTCTTCTCACAAATTCTCAGTTAACACAAGGCGCCGTGGCAGCTGGGAGCCAGAGAGAGTGAGGGTCCTGGCTGAAATGCGGTGCAAGGCGGCTCTTGAAGAAGTCTTGCTGGGAGCACACAGCGCTGGAGGGGAGAACTTTACCTGGTGCTGGCAGCGAAACTTTGCCAGTCTGTTTCTTCCCCTGCTTCAGGCTTGAATAAAATGAGCGCTAATGATTTTTAAGGCGTTTTTTAAGTGATTTGTCTTGGGAATGCTAAATTGGCAAGAATAAAACC